TTTCTCGAGAACAATCATTGTAAGTTAAAACTCACAAATATCAAAGAACAGTGTGAATGCGTCAGTTCCATTAGAATAGGGTACCTCGCCCAGGCAGGAAAGAGATCTATGATAGGTGTCGCCTGACTGTCATCTGGCGATTGTCCGAAATAAGTTTAAGAACAAAATCGGGATATTTTTTTTTTTACATTGAGATTGCCCCTAACCGACGTATCATCGCCTTCCTCTGTCTTTTTTTTTTTACAAATATTTCATGGTAACTGCTCCGATGAGCTGCTTTCGCTGGTTCCCAGACTTCACGAATTTAAGCGCTCAACTAGGCTGGCATCCCGTTCTCACCCTTTCACTGTGGAAATTTTTAAATTTAGCCGTCTCTTCTACTCCAATAGCTTCATGTCTCGCACTTCTCACCTGTGGAACTCCCTCCTCTTTTACTGTTTCCCTGATAGCTATAATCTCCAACTATTCAAATGTAATGTCAATCGACGTCTCCAGATGCCCTGATCTATCCCCTATCCTTCTCTTCATCCTTTCCTCTATCACTATTATTTGATCTCGTTCCAAATCTCTGTAACCCCCTTTGTGCTAGTGGCTTCCCGACCTTGCTTTATTTTAAAAAGAAAAAAAATATATATATATATATATATATATATATATATATATATATATTGACCTATATAAATAAAATAGAAAGAACAACAATCTGTATATAATCTATCCTCTTATAGATATTTTTATTTTTTCTAAATAGTATTCAATGTAAATTTACTAGATTATATATCATAATATCATAATTTAAAATTTAAAATAAGTATTTTAGTTTAACCATTCATTTTTAAAAAATATTGTTCTCATTATTATAAATTATCTCGAATTATAAAAAAAATTCTAAATAATTTCAAATAAATTTTTTGATTTATCATGGTTAGTCTAAAAATTTAAAATAAAAAAGTTTATTAAATTAAATACCTGGAACTTGATTTTAATTTTATCATATAAATTCATGAAAAATTCAATTTATTATTTTTCTTCCTCCTCTGCCAATAATTCACCATGTCACTAGAAATAATAAATGTTATATATAAAATATCAGACTTGAACTTTTTTGAATATCAAAAAACATTGACGGAAACTAAAAAAGTTTTTTTTTTTCTTTTTTTATGGATTTTTATATTTTTATATAATTTTTAAAATGTCCAATGTTTATTTATGCAAATTAAAATGAGTTACCGGATAAACTAAATATTTATTATTTTTTTTTTGAACATGAAATTCAAATTATCGTTATTTACATTCAGATTAATGTTCATCTTATTGTCATCACATTGTTTTTAAATAAATATTGTGTTTTCTATTTTTCAGGTGTCTGTGAATTTTTAATTCTTCCTGCCATCAAATTTAGCAGTACCAGCAAATAAAGACAGGCTGCAAAGAAGGTGGTTCTTTTAAAACAATAAACATTAATAAGAACACTTGGTTTAAGGCAATTGTAATTCTTTTTTCAGCCCAGATACCAGCACGTGTGATTAAGATTATAATTAAATTTTTGTGCAGAACCATCCGCACTTTTTTCCTTTGGACGAATACAGAAACCTGGTGCATCTTTTGCTGTCCCCAAATGACCCTCTGCAGGGGTTTGAATTGGATTTTCTTTCTTAGATATTTTGCATATCCATTTATAGAACCCAGTCTGTCCTGCTTTATTTACCCATAGCTGGATCTATAAAGGATTCAAACCTTTCCCAATTGTATTAGCACGTAAGTGAATATACCTTTATGGATATTAATCGATTTCTCAGTGCAAATACTATCCATTTTATTTACATATATATATCTATATATCTATATATATATATATATATATATATATATATATATATATATATATATAATATATGGATATAGATCCGACAGTATGAAGAAAAATATACGGAAAAAACAAAAAAATCCTAATATGCAATTATGCTGTTTTAATGTTAATATAATGTCAACGTCGGACGTTTTCGGTCTAATAGACCATCTTCAGGACATATTCATAAAACATAATTAACATTAGACTATATTCAATTCAACATGAAAAAGACGATGGACATTTAAATATTAATAATCCAAACAAATGTTATAAATTTTTTTTCAATCAGCATTTCTTTCATTATCTATCATATATATATATATATATATATATATATATATATATATTTGAATGATATATATATATAATATATATATCATATATATATATATAAATATATATTTAACTGGATAAATAAAATATTGCCAAATTATTATATATTCTTTCAATATTCATTAAATATTTAATTGTTTAAAATTTATGCATGAGGTGTAAAAAACAATAAAAATTCAATGCGGTTATTTAGAATAAAGTCGACATATGTATTAATATATTATATATATAAATACCTACCTTTTATATTTTTATATTTTTTTTTGGTTGTATATAAATTATCAATTCATCAGGCACGGGGTTATATATATATATATATCCATATATAACCTATTTCAATAAATGTAAAATATAAATGAATTTTTTGTAACATAAAAAAATATTTATTTTAAATTTGCCCAATACAAAATTTACTAAAAGATATAATTCTTCATCTTATCAATGATTATGTTTGAATGCATCATGTTTTGATCAAAAAATGATAAAGAAAAAAATAAATCGTTGAAACAAATTAATATTTTTGTAGTGATTTTAAATATATTTATGGTATAAATTTTTTAAATAAATAAATATATATATATATATATATATATATATATATATATATATATTATAAATTTTTTAAAATGACGGAACGCATTCTTTGACAATAACATTTTCCCAAACAAAAATTAGAAAGAATTCTTTTTTTCAAATAATTATATAATATTTAATATTAATATTAATTAATTATGAAATAATTAAAAGGTAAAATAAAAAAAATATAAATATAGCCATTTGATAAAAAAATAAATTTCTTTATTGTTTTCCAAAAATATCGATGGAAATAATTTCGTTGTGAAAAAAATTCAGATTTTTTAAACACGAATTCGCATATCGAGAAACGGAACAAAAAATGCTCTGTCATTTTTTATTTTATTTCCCATAGTATTCAATACTATTCACAGGTTGATTTTTCAATTCAATACTTTGAAATTTTGACTATTCAATGTCATAATTGAATTTTCCTATAAATTTCATCAATTTTCCTTTTTTTAAAAAATATATGTGCCATCATGAACTTGTCCTCCTAACCTGATATTCTGCTATCTTTGATAAATTTTTTAAATTTGATGATTTGCCATTAAAATAAACTATTTGCCCAATTTATTTGATGTTCTTCATTTTGAAACATCCTATATTACCTTTGTTCTGGATAATTCAAAATATCCTGACCAACTCAGAATTCTGATCTTTGTAATATTCCTCTCAAAAATATAATATTTCATAAGACATTTTCATATTAAATATAAATATTTTTTTATAAATAAAATATAAGATATATTCTTATATATATATATATATAAATATATTTATATATATATATATATATATTTATATATATATATATCTATATGATAAATAATATATATATATCTTAAATTGTTTTAATTTTTATATTATATTCATTTTAAAAATTATATGATTTTTTTTAAATCTTACTGTTTAAAATATATATCCACTATCTTATTATCTTATTACAATATTTTAAAATATTTTTTTAAAATTTTTATATAATTTTAAAATTTTTTGGCTTAAATATTTATCATTTTAATTCAATTTAAAATAAATAATAGAACAATATTGTTTTAATATGCAGATAATATAAAACTTTTAATAAAAAATAATATCATATATTTATAGATGAATATATATATATAAATATTCTATATATATGTTGATATATGAAAAAAAATTCTTTAAATAAGTTTGATTATTTTTTAATTTTATATTTATTTATTTCATATCCATAAAAGATATATCAACAGATATAAAATTTATATAATTTTAAATAATATTTAATAAAGGTTAAAAACTCAAAAAAATTATTTGGGTGAAGACCAATTTAAAAATATAAAAGAATTCATATCTTAATTATATAAATTACAGCATATATCTTACTAAATTTTTATAAATGGAATTTATAAATTATAAATTATTTTATTATATATTTTTTTTATTTTTTATAGATATAAATATTTACGTAAATGTTCATTTATGAATATTTATTAAAAAATATTTATCGGCCTTGAATTTTATGATGGTTCATTTTTTATTTTTTGTAAATACAAAAACGAAAAAACTATAGAAAAAAATTGAAGTTTATTGATAGAATTTTAAATGTTTTTTTTTTGATAACTTTTCGAAAATATCAAAAAGCAATTACTAAAAAAATTTCTTTTGACAATTTTCTAATTTTTTTTCTTTTTATTATATTTATATAAAGTTAATTATTAATTGCATTTTTTTGATAATATATTAAAAAAATTTAATAAAAATTTCTGTTGTTTAAAATTTTTTGTTTGTTTTTCTCCAACTTCAAATGTTTCTAAATATCATTTTAGAAAAAAATTTTTAATAATCTATATATATATTTATATATATATATATATATATATATATATAAAAATATATATATAATATATATATATAAATCTATGTTGGTTCAAAAAAGTCAAGAAAATGGAATATGAATTTATTTTTCGAAAAAATAATATACAATTTGTTTTTCTTTATCTTTGGGTTTTTTTTAATTTTTTAATAAAACAAAATTGTTCAATATATATTATATATATATATATATATATATATATATATATATATAATAATTATTTTAAAAATTCAACCTTTCTCAACATTTTTTAGTCTTGATTTTTTTTTCCTCCTAATAGAGGCAACTTCAAATCTTTGGAATGATGAATAAATTACAGCAATTTTATAATCTCCGTCTTTGTCATTTTCTTTTATATATATATATATAAATATATATATATAT